AGTATATATTTATACCACCGCAGTCAGTAATGAGATAAGCCTAAATACTGCATTTACATTTCATTTTACACATGTATAAAAACTAGATGACATATTTTTTTTCTTTATTTATATGTACAGAATAATTATTTTAATAAGAAAAAAGAGTTATTGCGATATGCAAGTTAAAATAATAATTATAATAATAATACAAACCGTATTATAGTGTATCATGATTTATATGTCATGTGGATATGTGATATATACGAATAAAACATTTTACGCATCAATTATGTATCAGTTTAATTAATAAAACACTGGTAAGATAAACAGAATATACAATACAAATATATACATATAGTGTATAACATTTGCGTATGTCAAACTTTTTAACAAAATGAACAATCTAGTAATGCAGAACTATAAGAAACAAATTTTTATATAATATTGTCTTGAATCGTATGACTATACTTTTAAATGTATAATATAGAGCATTAGTGTTGAATACAATTTTAAAATTGTATTTATTTAAAACAAGTATAAACGTATTTAATAATAAATATAGATATAATAACATAGGACGTAATTAAATTACAACATACATATCATCAAAATATGTAATGAATGTATATATTTATTATATCAATTAAAACGGCATTGTCAAAAATAATAAATATTAATAAATATAATAAAGTATTGTCGTATTGATTAATGATTATGACAAATTTTAGCTACATTTATGAGTTATGATAGCTATATTATGCGTAAATAATATATCACCATATGGTTTTAAATATACGGCCGACGATAGTTTTTTTAACAGCAAATAAGTCTGGTGTTTGTTTTCATTTCGTGTCTTGTTAGTAACTCAACATGTATTATTATGTCCTATCTAATCTCCGTATTGAATTTTATGGTCATTATGGCCGATTTGTTCATATACCACTCATTCGTCCGTCGGTTATGCCTAACGATGATAACAGTAATAATTATACTAATTAATAATGATAATGTACTTAACACTGGGCATTACGAAATTCTCTTTGTACATCGATTAATATTCTATACGACCGCAATGTAATCATTTCGGTTCATAGGTCCTTCGTTCCGCGGCTAGCTGCGGTAACAAAATATTATAAATTCATCCAAAAGTTTATCTAACAGACACAATTATTATTCAATTATAATATATTATATTATGCACGTGTATGGTATAATGTATCGTTTACAACAAATTATAATATTGTATTACTGAGCCGATATCGATTAGGTTTATTTTAATTTTTTTTTTTACTACTCGTTTACAATACGCCACGCACAATATAGACACAGTTTTCGCTTATATAATGCATAAAGATACACACACACAAAATATACGTAAATACTGTTTGGCTGATAGGCAGTACATACGTAATATTATTAAAATATTATAATGCTATATTAACCTACTCGACGTTCTCGTAATCCGGAATATGCACCTGCAGCTATTCCCCAAACAACAACCACTTAACCCCATTTTATTAAACTCGTCGACCTCTAAATCCTCCGTCCGCGCAAGATCGAAAATATTATTCTTCCACTTAAGGATATAAATATAACATAGTTTTATAACAATAACCGGCGACAAAACTGTTTTTGTGTTATTTGTTATCTCGTGTAATAAAATATAACACACAGTAGCTGTTATAGTGCGTCGTATACAATAATAATACTACGCGGTGAGTATGGTACGTATCACAACGATATAGGAGGCACCGCGTCTAGTGTGTTATATGATGTGCTTTCTACTTAATATACTGTTGTACGGACGAGTTACGGCAACTCGAAGTTCAAGAAAGAAAAACATTAGAGTTTTTGAATTGTTCAAAATGTTCAACGATTTAGTGTTGTGGTGTTTTATCTTTAAACGAGAATTTTTTTTTTATTCGTGATTTCGAGTGTCGATCGTATTTTGCTGTTTTGTTTGTTGGGCGTACCTTCGTTTAAAACTGGTCGAAATCATAAACGGTGTATACAATTGTAGATTATTCTACATTTTGTGCAAATCCTATATTAAATTGTTAAAATAACGGCTGGTGATAATTTGGTATTATATATTAATAATATTTATAAAGGTGTAAAACCTGTTTGATCATATTTTTCAACACACGTTTGTCCACTTATTTTTACAAAAATCTAAGGCGTATGTTATAAATTATAATAAGTCTATTGTTAAAAATTAATAAGCTACACGTGTTTAAATAAAATATGATAAATATTATCACGATATCACAAATGAAAAATATATCATATTATATCGATATGGTTAAGACCATTATCTGAAATTCTTATCCTATTAAATCTACTTTTTTCTATGGAATCTTAAAGAGCCTAGAGCAGCAGTCGAGAACGATGATTGACCGTCTGGTGTGATCTACAGTAGAGGAGTTACGCACCGTGGAAAACGTTTTGAATTAATTTAAAGCTTAAATAATGTTATATTGTTATTTTATTTTATATATTATAAATAATACTATGAAGCGCTCAGAAGCCGATTGCTAGGTAATTCGTCGTGCCCGGTTGTTTCCCGCGGTCTGTCGTCGTCGATTTTGTTACGCATCGTTATGCGTTATTACTTATTAATTATCGTATTATAAATAGTTCACCACGATGGGCGGGTAGGTATATGCCACAACAGACCTACGTTCCCAATAATTAATTATGATGTCGCTCAGTCGTATGTTCGGAAGTAGCGTTTTATAACGATTTACATCCATATCCGTATACCGTGATTTACTATTTTTCTACGTTCCTTGTTACCAACGTTACCCTGACCACATTGCAAAACACTAAACGAGTCCGTAAAAAAGCAAAACCGTCCGAAACATTTGAGTCCACCGCAGTGCGCACCTCTGCCGTTAAGTCATATTATGTAAATAATTATTTTAAGGTCCAATACGTAGGGAACTTTATTAAACATGACGTAAAATGAGGATTAATATTTTTAAATAGATTATATATTATAATACGACGTAAATTTGATTATTTTTTTGTCCTACGTTGTAACCGACCCAAATCCTATCCTGTTCATGTGTATAGAAGTATGTATAGTTATGTTTTACCTGATTTACTAAAATAACCATACTCGAACCAAGAATCGATGATATTTATGAAAATATTATAATGACTCATTGAGAGTTGTTGTTAACGATTGTGTTTCGTGTAGAAAAGTGTTTTTATGCGCTCGAAAAAAAACCAATTCGTTTGCATTCGTTATTATTCACGCTGTATATTAATTAATAATTAATAATATTATTTTAAATTCACTTGAAAACGTACAGTTTTGAGAACGGGTTGAGACGAAATATGAGAAGTAATACATATTGATTTTAATTAATTAATTGTCACGACCACTAAATATTGTATTTAATGGAAAATTTTCAATGGCTTTTCATCTCTCTATGCATAATTTTCTTTAAAAATGCTGTCTCTTCCTCTCTATAATATAATCAATTACTATTATCACTTATCATCCAATCGCATACATCACTTGACTGAAATACTTTAAACAAAACTTATCTTCGCATCTTGTTTGTAGAATTCTTACATTTTTTTTATTTTACGATGATAGCAGTAAAATGCAACGAGATTAATTTTAATCCACCACGATTACTGGAAATTTTGTGAGCAAATCACTAACGTCTTACATACAATCTACATACCTTTAACGAGAGTCATACTACAAAAACAGAAGTGCATTAAAGGCATTTTAAAACATTTAATACGTTAAAACTTTAAACGTAATTTCGCAGAGTTATAAATGAGTCTTACTAACTAATAGCTGGTACCTATAAGTAGTTTCAAGTTTTTAACGTCCTACATTTTCTGTATCGCGTATAACAATGGCAAATTATTTAATCAATGAAATCACACCCATTTATATTGTTGATTAAATTACTTGTACAGTAATTTTATCTTAGTACCTAGGTAGGTATCAAGTTTTGTAATTTATTTATTTTTTTCATTATTATTTAACTTGCTCCATTTATTTTCTCTTCAAAAGTCTTATAACAAGTCGTATACATCACATAAATCGTTAATTTTTCAATCAAAAGCACACGGAAAATTTGAATCTATGTATTTTATAGTTATTCGTTAGTTGCTCTTGTATTAGACGAGTATATGCTATATGTTTGCACATACTTATATAGAAAATGTCAATATAGTATTTTATAACCTACATTAATTTTATCGAAGTCTTTAATATTATGGTTATCAGGTATGATGTCATCTCGACGGCAAATAAATAAAAAATAATCTGTATTTTTATTACCTTTCCCATGTTCTTATCGATATTTATAAATGTAATAAAATAATTTTTTTAAACTCTCGACATAATCATAAGTGACGAGGTTAACGATCTCGTCGGGTCGGTTTTAAAATTGATTTGTTAAAAAATAAAACAAAGAACATTATTTTCAATTTAAAATTTCGATTTACTGCAAATAGATTAGAAATCGAATACCTAATAGATACGCATTGCTCTTCCGTATTCGACGATCGTCTATTGTGGGTAATACATTTTAGACGCATGAACATTATATCTATTTAGTCATTTTGTTTTGCGGTGTATGAAAGAAAAATAACCAACACGCAAAATGATTCCATTTTATACCTAAACAGTAAGCAATTAATTCGTATTCGTAAATTTTTAAGTACCTATACAAGTTACAATAAATGTAATATTCTTCATGGATTTAAATATGATATATTCTATGTGTAATGATGCAAAATTTAACTTTATATTAAAAGTTTAAAAATAATTTAATTACCCGATTCAACAATGAAACAATTAAATTTAATTATTTGATCGGAATTTCATATAGATATCATTAAATTCTAAATATCATATTATATATTATATATGTGAAGCCAAATATATTTAGATTTTTAACGTTTAATTATAAAAAATAATATCGAATATTTTCAACAATATACAATATACAATATATTTTTATAATAATTTATTTTTATTATTTCAGTCTTTTCAAGGCAGTCAAGGAAGAGCATACCTTTTCAATTCTGTGTAAGTAATATATATTATAGTTTCGTAACGTTACATTTTTCGGGATTTCAAATAATAAGTAAAATACAGTTATTTCGTTAGCGGCGAGTAAATCTGTAATTTCGTAGAGATAAAAGATAATGCTTACGTTCTTACGTTTTATTTAATGATACCCGTTTGGTTTTTTTCCTTCTTTTTCTTATGTAACATAAATATTAACTTGTTCGTTCTCCCTTAGTGTAAACGTTGGATGCGGCCCAGCAGAAGAAAGGATTTTGTTGACCGGACTACATGCAGTCGCCGATATATATTGTGAATGCTGTAAGACCACCCTGGGTTGGAAATATGTGAGTGTACACCTACTGTATTATTAATTATCATATCCTGTGAAAAACGTAACAGTGTATTATTTCAAGAATAAGATTAGAAAACCAAAAATATAAAAATATAATTAATATTTCAATAAATAATTCTAAATGTAAAATATCATCGTAGGATTTTCTTAACTTTAAAAAAAATATTTATATATATTTTATTGTTCAGTTTAAATTTTTAGGAAATCTTTTCCATCGCATCATTATTCTGCGAACTACGGATATTTGAATTTCTTTGAACTTGAATCGATGATGTTTATGAATACAATTTCCCCGTAAAACTAATCCAATTAATAATGTATTATAATTTGTGAACCAAATCAATTTTAATAGTACTATTAAAATAGTACTAACAAATAAAAAACAATTTTATAAGCGCGTAATGATATAAAGAGAATTTTGCCAAAGGATTTACTATTTTGTAAAGTTGGAAATATAATTCACTGTTTATTTCAAACGTATATCATATATTATTAGTTATTAGTTATTACGTTATGTTTTTGGACTTCTGGCGATAGCATTTTGTTAATATTGATTACTTATTCAACTATAACCTTTTAAAGTAATAAATCTTCATTAAATTAAATATAATAATATACTTATAATTAATTTTTATCGTAAAATGTTTTATAAGTTTATTAAAATGAACTAATCACGTTATAGCACTTAAGACTGTTCCTGACATTCAGAGTGAGTCACCAAGCATGTCAAACCTCACTTTTTCTTTTCGTGTATAAATACTCATTCTTTAGAAGAAAAAATTTTTTCCATTTTTAAGACATTACAGAATATTTATTAAAAAAAAATAGTTTTTTAAATCATTATATTCAGTTTTTATTTTAATATTCTTAAAAACAATATTATTTAATATTATTTTTATGTATAAAAATAAAATTTCGAACGAGTAGACTTTAATTAAGTAATTATTATTTTAAGTTCAGATTAGCGGAGTTGTAGACCAACTGCTTCCGATTGCTATGCCACTTTTTTTCAACTTATCTTAACTAACTTTAAATATTTATAAGTTATAACTCATAGACTACTTGTCCAAAAATCAATTCTTATTTATCCAAATACTCAAATAAATGTTTTGTATTAAAATAAGGCATTAAAAATGCATGTTGTCATTTAAAAAAGTGAAAAAAAAAATTAAAAAATAATAACGATACAATAAATAATAAACTTTAGGAATAGATATTATTATTCTGTAATGATTCAAAATTATTTTTAAAAACCTTTATGGTTTATAGTTTTTGAAATAATATGTATTCTTCGGTAAAAATAAGTTCAGGTAACACAAACTCGGTGATTTTGTTTCTTCTTGTTTCTGCTAAATTATTGTTATATTTTCTTGAAAATGCACTGTAATACGTATGTATGAAGTTATCTGTAACGCCTACATACAGTATACATGCATATTGCATACTGCTAAGCAACAAAATATACATTATTATTTTGATGCGTGCGTGTGTTGCAGGAACATGCGTTCGAATCTAGCCAGAAATACAAGGAAGGCAAGTACATAATCGAAATGGCACACATGATCAAAGAAAACGGCTGGGAGAGCCCGCCGAAGAAATGAACTTCTATCGTCTTTCTATCTATCTCTCATCTCTTTGTCTTTCCCGTCATGCGTTTCTCTCGTCAAATTCTCTTTATTTTTCCATATTCACTCTCCTCCACCTACCCGCAATCGCGCCGAAATTAACTCTCTCTTTTTTTTCCATTGATCCAATCTCGAAAAGTTTTACGTTTTTCCGGACAATTTGTTGTTGATATTGCCGACGAATGTTCACCGTGACCACGACAAATGTTATCGCACAGTTTTGACCACAACGAAGGTGAATAAAATTATATTCACGCTGCTTGTTATAATATTTTCGCCATCGACCTAGCTCCACTGGATATACATGCGCAAGTGATCAACGGTAAATGACGGAGGAAAATCTCAATTAATACACCGAAGTTAACATTAGACGATTAGCTTGTGGTCTTATTATAATTATTAATGTAGTATTGATTAACTAATGGTGTACCTATTTATAGTGTTAAGTATTTATGTGATAACATGATTATGTATAAGAGTAATAATTAAGGGCAGCACTTTAAATCGATTTAAAAATAAAACAACACAAAATTAGACGTACCTATACACATCTTCCAAAGCTTTTTACTCGACGCATATTATATTTATTACTATGACCACAAAAATCAATTTATCGGTTTATTGATATTTCGAAATAGTGAGAAAAAATAATTATAAGTTCTTGCGTTGTACAATTAATATAAATCTATTTATTTTATTTCGATCAATTTATTACCTATAACAATGAGCTATTCGTATTATCATACAACATAAATCAATAAGTACTATAAAATATAAATTATATATTCAATAAATTAACGCAGGGTTTCGTTTTAAATATTGTTTTCGTAAAATTAATTTTAATTTTATTTTTATTTCAATTTTTTTTTCCTTTTACAAATTGATCCAATTCTATACATTTTAAGAAAAAAATATTTTTATTTTATATTTTTGTGTTATTCAAATTCATTTAAGATATACTTAGGCTAAAACTACTAACCTATTAATAAAAAAAAAAAAACCCAAAATTTATGATAAAAAAAATAAATAATCGCGCTGCTTACAATAATCTACTGGTTCTTTGATACACACCATAATATAATATCACTATTAAATAAATCAATTTAATAACATATAAAATAACACATTTTTTATCTGTCGACTTTAACTCGTAATAAAATTATATAACACTGTATTGATTAATTGGTAGGCAAAGTATTTTCATAGTTAAGCTTATAATACAATAATTATTGGTATAAATGTTATTTTCACGTACAGATTACACAGTTTCCTTTTGTTAGACACGGTTAGTTTTTATTTTTATGGCGGAGCGGCGTAGTACATATTATGTCACACGACGTTTTTATTACGGAAGTACCGTTATCAATTTCATCCATACTAAGTACTAATAGATATTATGTTATAGTGTCTGTGTGTGTGTGTGTGTATACATCGCCCTGGTAATGAGATATAAGTAGATAATATTGTATTTTAGCTTTAGCGTAAAAGTAGTTATTGTATTTAAAGTCAAAATAATTATAAAAAATAGGTATAATAATAATTACTGTATCCGATATGCTATTTATGGTAATATTTAAAATAAGTTATTATTATTTTTTTTTTTTATATTTAAAATAGTGCTACTTCAAATTATTGTACTTAAAACTAAACAGGTCTCATGAAAAAAAAAAAAAAGTAAAAAAATAAACATTGAGAGAGTAGTTACTCTAAATCCATCGGTACCTATGTGTTATAGGAATATAAAAAACTTCCATTTTATTTTTGTCATCGACTCAATTTTTTTTTTCAACTATATTATTTTGTATTTTGTATTTTTTATTTTTATCATTAAAGTTCCTGTGAAAACAACAAACTTTTCCACTTGTCCTTGACAAAACTGATCTCAAAATATAATAAAATATTTTTTATTATGTTTTTATTAACTAACAGAATGGGTGAGTTATATGAATATTTTACAAAAAGTATAAAGTTCTGTATTGGACCAATGGAGATGGAACTAGCACAACTCTGTTATTTATATAATATACGATCATCTGGGGAATCGTTTGTAATATGCATTCTCGTCCTAATAATATATTTCCGAGTCAAATAATGCGTGATTTTTCTGATTGCAATGTATTTTATTGAGATTCATTTCAAACTGATCAAGTGCCTATTATCTAAATAATTTTTAAATATCAAACTATAAATATTATCGATCAATAAATATTAATCTATCGCGGACGAGATTAAAAAAAAATATTTGTTTAATATAATATACCCATATATTATAATTATCAAATTATTGTCAGCTTCATATTTTCATGTGTTAATTTATTTTCTATTATTTTTTTTTTTTTTTTTTTTTTAGTTTATTGATATTATTCTACTTTTTTTTTTTATTCGTTAGATACTTATATCCATTCACGTAATCGATGACCAACTCTAATCCCTTTGTTTTCCATGATCAGTAAACATAATGTATTTTTTAAACGATATCTATATAAATATATATATTTATCTTCACTTTTTACTATTATTATTTTATAACTTTTTAAATCTAGTCTAGTACCTACAAAATATTTCAATAATATAATTATTATATGTATTATAGTAGTTTCCCACATGGAAATTTATAAGAACTAAATTAATATTATCGTTAGACTAATCAATAATAGTGAGATATATTATGTTAGGGATCAAATTACATATTAGGTATTATAAGTTATTATGCAATAAAAGTATTTGAACGCATAAGATAGAGTTCTGTGTGCTTTTATGATTGTAAGTACAAAAAATCCCATTAATACTTAATGTTGCTAAATTTTCAAGATTAATAATTTAATATATGCCGTATTTTTGTGTAATACACGTCAAAAGTATTCAGATTATTTTAAATTTTTGACAAGAACATAATTTATGTTGAATTAAATATTAAAAATACATCAATAACTATGCTACAACAATATATATCTATGTATTAATAAAATATGTGTGCGTTGTACATCTGTTTGTCTGATGTTGGAAATGGGTAGTATTGATGCTATCTAAAACAATTTTTTTTGTTGTTTAAGTTTTATAATATAATATAATTATTAAGTTATTTTAACGTATTGTTTTTTTAAAAATTTTATACTTAACATCTATGTTTAATGTTTAGTATGTTTTATATATTAAGTTTCGATTTAGGAACGTTAACCTATTTTTTTGAGTTGTGATTTTTTTTTTTCAAAATGTGTATGAATTAAATAAAAAACATTATATGTTAATGTCGTATTCATTTAATTCCATTGTTAACTAATCATATATTATACTGTTTAAATGTATTAAGTAGTGGTGTCACTAATATCCGGATTCCAATACTATTTGGATAATACCTGAATTATCCACATAATCCGGATATTTTAAGTTTTTAGCTTAATTATTAAAAATTTAAATGTTTGTTATTTAATTTATAAGTTATCGACTGTTTTATTTAAGTCGGCAAAACTTAAAATTTAAAAATAATAGTTTGACGTAAATTTTACATCTCTAGATAATTTGAATTATTTGAATTATTCGGTTAATACATTTTGGATACAGATATCCGGTTATCCAAAAATCCCGATTTTTAACATCACTAGTATTAAGTCTATAGAACTTGATATATATCATATGTATAATCCCAAAAAGATAATATATTTATTTAAAAAATATATTTTTTGTAATATAATACACTATAGATAGTTAAAAATTAACTATAGACCGTTTAAAATAAAATATTTAAGCACTATTATAATATTTATATTCTCATAAACTAATAAGTATAACTATAGTTCAAAATATTTGGTATTATTATTACTTATTTATAGAACTAAAAGCATACGACTTAATTTAAGTTAGCAGTGAGTATTGACGTATAATTATTGTACGGAGACCTTGGAACGTTACTTAACCTATAACCCAACTAGAAATTTGGTAATTGATGTGTTGTAGAAAATACTGAACAAATATGTATTTCTAAAACACCAAAATTCAATTCTGCGTCCCTTAAATCAAATGATGATTGTGCAAGACAGAAGATATGATTTGTTTTTAAATTTTTTTTTTTTTTATCTTAATAAAAAATTCATAATTTTTGTATTAACTCGTATTTGTATTTATAGTAGTATTTGGTTTTTATTTTTGAGATTAAAAAATAGCAGAATCACCAAATGATATACAAAGCTTTGACTATAATTTTAAGAATCCTAACATAATAACAGTGCAAAATTGAATTTAATATACGAGTATAATAATATTATTATAGCAATTCTACGCTTGATTTTGAATTAAATACATACAGTTCAATGACTAGAACATATAGGTTAGTTCATTTGTTACGCTGTCAATGAACATTAATCGAGATAAAAAAAAAGAAAAAAGTTATTGAAATACATAGAAGGTACATCATCTATTCTTATGGTTGCTATCTTCAAAGTCTTCAATTCAATATTGCCAATTAAATCAATTCTTCGTTACCACCAACCAGTTTAAAATATTTTAAATTGGATTTACTAAGAAAATAAATTGTATTGTATAATTGTAATTTAATTATCTGTTCAATAATTACCGTTTAAATTTAATTTTTTTTTCAACTCATATTAAATATACCTACTAAAGATACATTTAAAAAAAATGTTTTTCTCGGCAATATATTTTTGATTAAATATTTAATCAATTGACTGTTATTTAGAGTAATTTAAATGTTAAATTATTTTGTTAATTAAAATAAATTATATTTTAAATAACTACCATGTAAAGTTTACAATAAAAATGTTTGCCACTTTATTACTTACAGTGGTTGATATCTAGTTTGCTGAGTCCAATTATGTGGCAACTGGCAATACAATATTGCACTATATAATAATGCTACTACGACGTGCTATGATATTTTATATTCAACTATGTTTTTTTTGTATCGTCAATGTAGCCTTAACGATTTTTATTGACCATAATAATATGTCTGAGGACAGCAACCCCAAAAGGGTTTATGTCTTATAGTTTGTAGCCTTATAAATTATTATTCATATTATTATACCTTTTATGTGGCTTACCTTATATAGTTAGACCAAATATTATAAATAAACACTATTGCAACGAAATTAATTTCAAATGAGTTATAAAATTATTTACACAATAAAACGAAATTATTGATATTTATATGATAGGTATTCGTGTTGTTAATAAAAAATAAAATAACATATAATATATTGAACATATTATGATAAGAATAAAAATGAAAATAAGATTTCTATTACATAAAATATGATTAATTTTATAGGTATCCATCCTGTATTTTAAGAGCAATAAATTTCTAATAATTGCATTATTAAAATGTGTATGTGTACCTATTGTGTATAAATAAAAAATGTGATAACATATGAACAAACCATAATGTATTTCTATCTATACATCTTTAAAGATATAATGATTATATGTGGCTTCACTGCAACCGTATAAAATATAAATATTAGATCTCTCATAATTTTTATGTTTATATAATTTTAATCTAATTAATTATCCTTTTTAAAATTAGTTACCATTAGATGGTGTATAATGAGTTCTATTAGTTTAAAATAGAATAAAATATTATGTAAAAAGTTATTATTCAGTAAGGAGATATAGTATATCCAAAATTTCAACGTCAAGAAACTTATCAAATCATTCAATCACATGGAGGAAGCAGTTGGGAAACACAACACCCTCCACATTCACGATTTTTTTTAAATGTTTAATTATTGTAAATAAACTCTAGAATTAAAATATTACTGTTAATCAAATTAAACACTAT